TTGATGATGTCAAAAAGGTATCACAATATGTGATTATTTTTAATATTATTAACATTTTTTATCAAATTAAAACTATTATAAAACATATAATCGATTTTTTTTTAATATTAGTAACTTGATATTATCATATCTAAAATATTAATTTGATTGTTTCACTATGCAAAATCTAAATACGTAACCAACAAGTTTACAGCTTCTTCAATTCAATTTTTTTTTAAAAAAACACCGCTTCTTCAATTCCATTTGGAAAAATATCCGCGCGGTTGTGCAGATCAAATTCTAGTTACAGTTAAAAAAAAAAGCTATGCCTCAAAATTGTGTATTGAGCACGCCCAACATATATCTTTTGATATTTAATTTTCATTAATCTGCATAAATTATAATAAATGATTAGGTTAAGATATATCTTTGCACGGGATAAACTTTGTATACAAATTATTTGTACGTAGTATTATTTTGTTTTGCTTTCTTTACATTTAAATAATAAAATAGTAAATATATATTAAATAACTAAAACTAGTAAGTACTGTAAGTACGTATAATTAAATTGACATGATTATAAATAAAAACAATAACTATTAATTATTTACAATCATTTTTATAATCTTTTATAGTAAATAAATTAAGATAATCACGTTTATCTATTTTATATGGCATACAACTAAATTTATTATTATTAACATAGATATAATATATTTTTAATATAGCTATCTATTAAATAAGGTTTCTTTCTCATGTGATTTTATGATTATTTTTGTTTTTCCTATAACAAATCCTGTAAACTGTTGATAACATTACAAAATTTGCAATATTAGAATTTTAATAGTTTTAGTAGTTTAAAACCATTTTTAAAAATTCAATGCAAAATTAAAATATTAGGACTTCAATACTTATTCCGTGCATATTTCAAAGTTAAAATACTTATGTGGGTTTTTTTTTTGTCATTAAGGATGTCCATAAGGAACAATCAACCAAAATGGTTGTACGTAGTTCAAACAAAAGGTGAAAATACCAAAAGAAACAACAGTAAAGGAAACCAGTAGGCACCATCACAAACCCATACAAATGAGCATAAGAAACAGATAGAACTGATCCTGCTCGCCGTCTTCTCAATCGCACCGAGATACATGGGAGAGACATCATCATGCAGAACTTTATGAACATATCTATGTGGTTATGTATGGAATATAATTTAATTTAAACGATATTAATATATTATATATATATATATATAGATATATAATATGTATATCTAATAAATGAGACTTCCTACTTGTAGAGTTTTATGAACATTTGGATATTATTTTAATAAAATTAAACTATTGATTGCAAAAAACAATAATGTGAGACTTTTAGCAATTTTAATAATTTCGAATCATTTTAAAATTTTAAAATACAATATCTAAGAAAAAATGTAAGTTTTTATTATATTATTAGTGTGATTTTTTAGTTTCAGTGATATAAAATTAAATGAATTTATAGAAAATATACAAACTATTATTAAATCTTTATTATTCAAAATAATTAATCACATTAGGTGACACCGTATATTTTATTCAATGAAAGAAGGAAAAATATTTGTTATATTTAATAATTAAATTTATGGTTAGTTTAATGAAAATTATAGTTACTGTATATGTTTTCTTTAACCAAATTATTTCTCTAAAAATTATAAAAATTATTTTAGTTATGAGTCTTATGACACATGACATATCTCAAATGTCGTAATGTTTTTTTAAATAATATATAAACCACTAGGTAATAATCCGTGTCTTGCACGGAATGAGATTATTACTTTTGTTACTTTTAAGATAAAAATGATATTATATCTGTTTAGCATGAAAATTGGTTCAGTTTTACGTTGTTTTTTTAATCTCCTAAAATATAACTATCATTCTAAATCTATATTTATTTTGGTTTGTTTGGTTTAAATTTTTGATGTTTTTGATTTTTTCGATGATAACAAAAAACTACTGTTATTTGTTTGGTTTTGTTTTATATAAATGGTAGAGATTTTTATGTCGAACTAATAGTTTCATATTATAATTTCTAAAGACATGTAAAATCAAATAAAATAGAAATAATTAAAAAAAAAATTATTAACATAAAACATTTCACTACAATTTGGGCGATAGTGAAAGAAAACATTAAAAAAAATCAACTTTAATAAGAATTAAAATTCTCACTTGTGGTGAATATTTAGTTATATAGTCGCTCATGTCAATGTGTACATGTATGTATATGTAAAAGTATATAAATGTAATGATAAATATATGAATATACCGTTAATTAAGATTTAAAACATTTTTGTTCAAAATAACACATGATAAAAAATTCTTAAATAAAATTAAGTAAAAATAAAAAAACCTAGAAGTTACTAACGTTTTTTCATATGAATAAAATCAAATTGTACCCGTAAAAAATAAAAATAATATATATTACAAAGTGACATCTTCACTTGGTACTTCAATTCTGTTTTTAATCGATTTTGTGATCTTATTTATTTTTAAAGCTTTTCTGATTTTTTTTTACCAATTTGATTTTGTTTCTAATTCTTGGTCTGATATGAAAAATTTATAAAAATGTTAATATTTGACTAAACTAAAGATCCGACTTTACGTGGTGTTTTTCACCTTAGCTTTTTTAATTCATAATCAATCACCTTATTTGTTGTAATTGTGTACCGAAGCCTCAACCATGACCAACTTCAGTAAGGTACGAAACTTTCAATTTCTACAAATATTTTCATTGCAACATTTTAGTTAATGCGAATCTTAATGATTTTGTAATTTTTTTTTTACAATAAAGATATTATTCATTAGTTTCACGTAGAAAATTTAAATTTATTAATACAAAGACTAAAAGTGTATGAAAATGAATTAATTAAAAAATAGTGTACAAAATCATTCAATAATGAATTTAAAAATTAGTGTGTGAACGCATTTGTTGCTAAAGCGTTGTAAAACCGACATGTGTCAGTTACGGGTTGAACGCATTTATTATAATGCTTTTTTTTAGTATATAAGGGATATGTTCTACGATTCGAGCCATAATTAAAACTATCTTTAATGCATAAACCAAAAAAAGAACATTTATCTTACAACGTAAAATATAATCCAATATTAATTTCATATGTATTTTTATGTATTACGATTAGAATCCCATAATATCTGCAATAACATTATTGAATATCATTTTGTAGTTATTGAGTATCATCTTCATATCTTGGCTGATTAGGAAACTACATTTGATTGTGGTCTTAGTATATATATACAGTAGAACATCTATAAATTAATACTCGATAAATTAATATACACTAAATATCTCTATAAATTAATATAATATTATAGTCTCAAATTGAGTCATTGGTTCAATTAGTATATCTATAAATTAATATCTAAATTAATAAAAAAATAAAATTTTGGTGTAATCCCAATATTATTAATTTATAGAGTTTCACTGTATGTCATTTTTTTTCAAGTAATATATGAGAATAACACAGAAATGAATGATCATCGTGTTCACAGCAATATGGCAGACTTGTTCTCAAGCCTGGAAAGAATATCCGTCACAATTTCTTTTAATACTTGAAAGAAAAAGAAGAAGAAATCTGATTGGCGTAAGATGTTGAGATTGTCGACGTCGAACTTGACAAATTGATTATAGAAGATTATAAAAAAATTTAATTTACAAAAAAGGATTATAAAAAGTCAACTGGTGACGTGGGGGGGGGGGGAATACATACATGCTGAAGCATTAAATAATTTTTAAGGGAAAATACTTGATTTTCGATATACTTAATACTCAGTTTGGCTTACGAGTATTCAAATTTTGGACTTGTACTTAGTTTGTTAAAAACGAATACTTGCAATTTCAAGTACTTGCAAAAATATGATGGACTTGCAAGGTACTTGCCTTGTTTTACAACTTGTTATTTATAATTTTTTTACAAATTACTTGATAACTATTGGTAAATATTTGATAATTAGTTTAAATTTAAAGGTAAATAAATTATTATATATAAATAATATGTCACTGTTTTCATTTTGTCATTATTTTTTCTGATTTTTAGTCATTTGTGAAATAGATTATATTAAGAAAGAAAAAATTCCAAAATGTTTATATAAATATTTCACTTATGTTTGATTCACTTAAAATTTTGAAATATAAGCGAGTTGTAGTTTCCCAAAAAAAAAAAACGAGTTGTATTACTATGATTTAGGAAAATGTATCTTTGTTCATTAACAAAAACAAATAATTAACCAAACAACACTGAATAATTAGTTTTATTTTTATTATTTTGTATTTATTTGTATTTGAAGTCAGTTTAAATAGACTACGTGATACACATCTTAGTCAAAACAAGTATTCGATTTTAAGGATCGTGTACCAACCAAGTAGTGAACATGTAGCAAATAACAAGTATTCGATTTTAAGGATCGTGTACCAACCAAGTAGTGAACATGAGGCAAATAACAAATAACTGTGGCCACTCATAAATTACATAAATTTTAATTAATTAATGAAAGATATACTAAGTATTTAATAAACCAAATAAAAAGTAAAGAATAACAAGTAATAAACCAAGTAGTTAAAAATTAAAATGAACTTGATACTTGGCTTGTACTTGCAAGTAATAAAATTCGTTTACTTGTTACTCGACTTGATTGAAGCAAATACTTGTTTTTTCAAACCAAACCGAATCAAGTATCGAGTACAAGCCGAGTATCAAGCATTTGTGCCAGTCCTAGGGAAAACAGTGTGCCCCTAAAAATATCATTTTAATAAACCGTAAACTGAAAATTCTACTGGCCGTACATTAAGGCTACTAAGATCATGGGGAAACAATAACTGAACTAATTCGTTTTTAAGGCGATAAGGTTTTTTTTTCTCTCTCATGAGATTTTAAGGCAATAAGGGTTTTTTTTTCTAATCACCGCCGACTGCTGGCCTCACAGCGATGGCCGAGAACTTCCTGACCTTTCTTCCCTTTCTTTTTAATGGCTTCTCCGATTTCGGATTCCGTTGCAACTCCTTCGCTCTCTCCTCCTCCCGAGGTGGCTCAGCCCTCTTCAAGATCTGAAAATCTAGATCTCGAAATGAAACTTCAGTCTTCCTCCATTCCGGCTTCGATTCTGTCCTCTGACGCTTCTTCCTATGCTGAGCATTTCAAGTATTCCCTTCGCAACCTCCAAAAAATATCATACCTTACTTTTTTGGAAGATAGAACACCGGTGATGCAAGCTCCGGCCGATATTCTTCTTCAAACGGTGGATATGTGGAAAGAGCATATCATTGCTCAATTCCATGGAACTCTCTCGTGACCGGGGAAAATCCATTCCGACCTAAATCCGGTAAGGGGCAAGTTTGGTAATATTGTTGTCCGGAAAGTGTCTGATACCTCATGTCTGATTTACACTCCATATGTTCAAACTCGAGAATGGGTCCTCCAGGTTGGCTACTGGCAAGCGGCCACTGTGCTTTTCGGTTTTCCCATGGACCCTTGATGGAAATTTCTCATCTCTGGAGCTCAAGTCAGCCCCGACTTGGGCAGTGTTAAGGAACGTTCCCCCTCAGCTTTACTCTCTCGACGTCATTAGCATAGTGGCGAGTGCCATTGGCGAACTTCTCCACACAGAAAAATCGAGATTGGAACCTTATCGTTTTGGAGACACAAAGGTAAAGGTCGAGATAACTCTGCTCAACCCCCNCCCCCCCGCTCGACAACACTTGTAGTTCGGGACATAGTTCGGAACTCGGTGAAGATAAATGTGGAGTATGCAAGCTTACCTCCTAAGTGCTGCAATTGTGGGAAATATGGTCACCTGTTGAATCACTGTCCTCGACCTTTAATGAAGAAAAAGATAGCTCAGAATCTTCAAAAAGCAAAGAAAAGTAAGGAAAAGGTTGTGGTTGCGTCGACATCAACTTCCATTGCTCTTGCTGATTCCGAGAAGTTAAATCTAGCCCTCACTCATATTCTGAAGTTCCTCAGGAAGTAACCACTACAGAAATTGCTCATAAGGAAATTACCTCAACACGGTCTCGTAGAAGGAGTCGATCTCGCTCAAAAGCACGAGCCCTAACTGCATCGTGTGTGGAAATTCCTCGTCATACTTCAGATACTGTTATCTCTTCTAAGGTCAGGGTTATTACTCATGTCACCCATGATGGAGAAACTCGTCCGCCAGTTGAGACTGAATTGCTTTCTGGTCGCCAAACTCCTCCCACAGAAAATGTCACTGACTAAGCAGAAGATTCGTCCTGAACTCTCAAGCAGTCGAAGTGGGCTCGAAGAGCCTTGTGTCAAGAAACATTATGGAAGTTTATTAAATCATCGTTTAGCAAGAAATCTCCGTTTCTTTTCTGAGGCAAGCCCTCAGATAAGAAAGTCTAATCCTCGTTCCTTCTACTAAAATTTGTATATATGAAGATATTTTTTTTGAATGTTAGAGGAATAAATCATACTGATCAGCAAAGAGAAATTTGTCGGTGGCTTCAGACAAGCAATGTTTCTGTAGGAGCTTTTTTGGAAACCCATATTCATGAAGAGAATATCCAGTCAGTTGTGAGAAGTGTTTTGGATGAATGGCATTTTGAAAGCAATGTTTGTCAGATACCTGGAGGTAGGATCGTAGTAGTATGGGATCTAGTGGTGTATGTTGTGGTTTCTTAAGAGGTCGAAATAGATGATGCTTTGTAGTGTTCTGGATTCAGGAACAAGGGTTTCTGTTATTACTGGCTTTGTCTACGGCTTTAACACAGTTGTTTAGAGGAGGATGTTATGGAAGGAGTTGATAGAAATCAGCAATCATCACCCTTGTTCTAAATACGCCTTTCATTGTTCTTGGAGATTTTAATCAAATATTATCAGCCTCGGAGCATTACTCGATTAATCCATACCCTCTCTCGGTTCAAGGTATCAGAGAGTTTCAAGAGTGTCTACTAAGTTGTGATTTAGCTGATGTAGAAAGCATAGGGAGTTTCTACACTTGTTCAAACGTCCGTCCAGAAGATCCTATTCTTAGGAAATTGGATAGAGTCTTAGGGAATGAGGCATGGAGGGTCTCCTTCCCTGATGTCGTGGCTCAGTTTCAAGTTCAAGGAGAGTCAGACCATTCACCGTGCATCATTGATCTCATCCCTTATGATAGTCATAGGAAGGTGAGATTTATGTACTTCTCTTTTTTGGTGTTTCACCCTCAATTCCTTGATAGTGTTCAGCAGGCGTGGAATGAGGAAATTCCAGTTGGGTCCAATCTCTTTTCTCTTCACAAGAGGTTGAAGTATGTTAGAGTGAAGTGTCGGAAGCTTAACAGGGAAGGATTTGGTAATATTCAGCAGAAAGTTAAAGACTCATGGGCCAAGTTAAAAGAGATTCAGCTAGTATTAATGAATTTCCCTAATGAGGCTTTGTTTAGAGAGGAGTTTGTAGCCAAAATAAAGTGGTAGTATTATGAGGCTGCTCAAGCAATTTTCTTCAGCAGAAAGTCTCGTATTCGATGGTTGAATGAAGGAGATACCAACAATCGATTCTTTTATAAGGTGGTGCTGGCACATCAAGCTGGGAACGCCATTCGATATCTGGTGCTCGATGCAGACACAAAAACTGTCAATAAATCTCAGATTATTGATATGATTGTTGCTTATTTCCGGAATCTACTTGGCTCTCCCTCTATTGCAGTATAACCTATGGGGGTTGAGGAGATCCATAATCTGCTCTCTTATCGATGTCAAGAGAATATTAAACCAGTGTTAGCTGCATTGCCGATGGATGATGAGATTAAGGCCACACTGTTTTCGATGCCCAAGAGGAAGGCCCCAAGCAAAAATGGTTTTCCAGATGAGTTTTTTTGGGAAGCTTAGTCTGTTGTGGGAAGTGGACTCATTGCAGTTGTTAAGGAGTTCTTTATATCTGCGAGGCTTCAACACACTTTTAATATAACAGCCATCGCCCTCATCCCAAAAACCATTGAAGCAGACAAAACTGCAGTTGTTCAGACCAATTGCTCTTTGTTCCAAGATTATAAGGTAATGTCGAGACTCCTGAAGAAAAAGCTGCAGATGTTTATAGCTGAGGTTGATCAGAGGAATCAAGTGGGGTTCATTAAGGATCGTTTGCTTTGTGAGAATGTTTTGCTGGCGTCTGAGCTGGTCTCTGATTTTAACAAGATTAGTCCGACTTCAAGGGGCTGTTTGAAGGTGGATTTAACAAAAGCTTATGATAATTTAGATTGGGTTTTACTAATTAAATTATGAAAGCAATTGAGCTTCCTCCGGTTTTGACTGATTGGATTTCGGAATGTATAACAACCACTTCTTACAGCATGGTTGTCAATGGTGAGCTCCAGGGATATTTTTGTGGGAAAAAAGGCTTAAGGCAAGGAGATCTCATTTCGTCACTTCTGTTTGTACTTGCTATGGATATTTTGTCCAAAAGACTTGATAAAGGAGTCATCGACGGAGTGTTCAAGCTTCACCCTTCTTGTGAGGCACCTTTAATCTCGCACCTCAGCTTTGCATATGATATATTAATTTTCTTGATGGAACTGAAGAGTCTCTGCGGGGTATCCTTCCTATATTTGAAAATTTTCGGGATGTTTTTGGTCTCAGTATAAATAAAGAAAAAACTGAGCTTATGATTGATGCTGGATGTCCACTGCTTTGTCAAACTCTTGCAAATGCAGTAGGAATCAGTCAAGGAGCTTTGCCAGTCAGGTATCTTGGTGTCCCTCTCTCGTCTAAGAAAATGGAAAAATCAGATTTCCAGCCTCTACTTGATTCAATTCCAGCCTCTACTTGATTCAATTCCAGCTCGGTTCAATTCTTGGACAGCCAGACACTTATCTTTTGCAGGACGTTTCCAATTGATCCAGTCAGTCATTTTTTTATCTATATCCTTCTGAGCTTTTATTTTTGTCCTTCCAAAGCAGTGTATACGAGATCTGGAGCAAATGTCGAGCAATGCATTCTTATGGAAGGGACCTACTACCTCCGCAAGAGGAGCTAGGATTTTGTGGGATTCTGTTTGCACTCCTAAGGAAGCAGGGGGCTTTGGTATGAGGAGGATCGTAGACTGGAATAAAGTTCTGAGTCTGAAGTTGATATGGCTTTTATATGCGGCAGGGGGTTCTCTCTGGGTCTCTGATGTTAGGAGTTTTCAAGGCTCCTAGTCAAATGTTGTATAGTGAAGTAAGTTGTCGAACCAGTTCTGAGGGAAGTAAAAGCGATGAGAATGCAAGTACTAACTTAATCTAAGTGCAATCGAATGTTTGGTTGGTTTTAAAGTGAACTAAAACTAAAATGTAAATAAACGATATGACTTTAACTATGAAGGTAAATG